CAAGGACACTTCACAGGGTTTCTTGGATCAACATAAAGGAGCTCCAAATCACTTCCCCAGGCTTGCCGCAAAGGCCTTCAGCCAAGTGTTCAGAGAAGCGGAGCTATTAGAAGCCACTGTCACGGCTTTGAAGAAGCTATGCAAAGAAAGGACCGAGAGACTTCTGACTTTACGTAGATGTCACTCGCGGTGAGGTGAGCAGTGTTTAGCTTCTCCTTGGATAGGAAACTGAAAGTCTCTGGCAAGAAGGGCGATCTCATCCGCCGGCTGATGGAGGCTTCGAGCAGCTGACGCAGTTTTCTTGCTGGAAGTTACAGCTTGAACAGACTGAGCAGGCCTTCAACCACCCAAATTCAGCTGTAGACTTGAACATTTGCGCTGCAGTTCTCAGATGCATTGGACCAGACACAGGCACGGGACTGGAGTTTTTCTGCAAAGTTCATGCAAACTTGCACATTCTTTGCGTTTTTCAGAAACGTGAACATGTGGAGAGTCAGGATGAGTCGCGGGAGACTGAGCTCTACACTCAGGCAGGGCTTCAAGGTGGAAAGGCCCGAATGCTCCTTTGGAAGTAAAGCCACTTCGAGTTCTTTGTATTCCTTGGTTTTGATAGATGTTTTGATGCATGACATGTGTCTTACATATGCTCCTGCTCATGCAACTCTAGGCGCAGCGAGAGCTGCACAACTTGTCCATGACTGATCTGCGGGACCTGTGCCAAGAGAGGAGAATATCCTTGGAGGGCAGGGAGCCAGGAGTTCGCTTCGGGGTGTTGAAGACCAGAGCTTTGCAGGAGCTTGAGCATCAAGGGCACCAAGGCAAATCTATTCCGTTTGACCATTTCATATATGAGATTCCACAGCTCGATCGCCCTTTTGATTAGCCCAAGGAGCTTTCAGGTCTTTTGGGTTTCATGTGGAAACTCTCAGAGCACGTCAGGTGGATCTTGTGAAGCGGCTGGCCTCACACCAGGCGGTCAAAGATTCAGAGTCCGCTGCGCCTCAAAGGCACGGAGGAATTCCAATTCTCGCGATAGAAGCTGCTCGGTACTTAATTCTATTTAAAGTCTATTTACTTATTGTTTCTACTAGCTTCTTGTTCCTAGTAGTAAGGCCCTTGTTACTAGTAGCGATGCACTTGTTCCTGGGGTTTGCTCTAGGGAGCAGAGAGCACCCAAAACCGTGGAGGATCGCTTCGTCCAGGTCGGAGCCTCGAGCGACTTCGGTCAGACGAAGTCGCCAAATTCGGAGTGAAGAGTTGTGCGAAGGCGCTTCGAAGTGAAGATGGTGACCTGGGGAAGGCGATCCAGGAGAGAGTGAACCTGGAAGCTGAATAGAAGCTGAAAACGATTTCTGCCAAAGATTTCTGCAGCTCAGGAATGCACCAAGCTTTCATTTTTGGGTACGGATGTTTGTTCGAGACCAGTGGACAGGACGCATTGGATATTGAGATGCCAAAGCCAGGAGATATTGTGAGTGTCGGATCCCAATTCTTTTGCGGCAGTTTTTACAACTGAGAGCTTATTCAACTTCTTCCCTGTCGGCCATCGGCCGTCCCAAGGGAGTGGTCACCTCCATCGTTGAATGGGGTGCCTTCGTCGAACTTGATGACACCGGCTGGCACGATCCTGAGACCCACGATTGATGGAAGAAGCGTGAAAAGTAAGTCACTCTGCTTTAGTGCCAAGAACAATTCCTGAATAGTGGTGTATGTATCCTGTATGAGTGATCATATGCAGGACAGGCCTTGTTCACGTCTCGGAGGTGCTGATTTCATTCAATTTCCAGCAATATCTAGAGATTAGGCATGTTGAACACCGAAGCATTTCTTGTCTAACAGCTGTTCTGGAGCATACCCTATACCTTGCCAGGTCAGTGATGTTTTCATCGAAAACATTGAGGAATATTTGTGCCCTGGACAGCGTGTTGAGGTGGGTCTTGGATGTGTTGGTGGCCTATCAGCTGAAAACAAGGTTAGTTTCAAGGGGTGTTAGAACCTTTTTGTCAGGGTCTGTCCAGAAAGCGCAAATTAAATCAACCTGCAGGAGGCTACTTCTGCTGGAATGGCCTAAATCCAGACGTTTTCTTGCTTTACAAGATCCAGCTCTGTTGCAGGCGCTCGTCCTCCAGAGCCCGATCGTTCGATCGGACAGGCACAGCAACACATTCTTCTGATTTGGTTCGTTGTAAAATGACAGCCTTAGTGAGCAAGAAGCTACGAGTAGCTCCTGGAATTACTACTAGGAACAAGAAGCCACTAGTAACAAAGGGCATCGCTACTAGGAGCAAGGACGCTACTAGGGGCTCCTGGTTGGAAGGCTCTCGCTCTCCATTCGGCGCTTGAAAGACCTCAAGAGGTGATCGATTTGAGAGAAGAGGTGATTCGCTGACAAGTCGGAGGAACTTTTGAAAAGAGCCTGCTTCCCTCCTCCCTCCTAAATTCAGTAGGCACGTACTGCCTACTTAATTACTGTAAGTAAGGGAGAGGTAGCTAGTACCTTACTTAAGCTACTAGTATGGAAGCCCCGATAGCTCACGCTTCTTCAAGGAAGCTCCCGCCGCCGCCCTAAAGACGGCGGGGGGTAGCTTCCTTGAAGAAGCGCTCGCACTAATGATTCGATTTCTGGAATTTGGAAACTTAACAGATAGTCCTTACATACTTAGCTACTAACAAGTGCCACGCTCCTAGTAACAAGTGCCTTACTAGTAGTAACAAGAAGCGAACCTAGAAACAATGTTTGCTATTCTCGAGGTACGACCCTGAGGCCGTGGCGAAAGTTGGAACTCTCACGCCCATGGCAAGGCATCCGCTTGAGCGCTTTCGACTCCGAACCAAATGAGTGCCGCAAGACGTGCAGGTAGTTAAGTAGTTAAGTACCTAGGAGTTAAGTAGGGAGGGAGCGGACTCCCGAAAGGCCCAACGTCGTGCGCGAAGAGGAATTTGAAGCTCTCCAGGAGCTGCGGTTTCTTTGCTGTGGTTTTCTTTCCATTTCTGTTTAGCATAAGTGCTCAAGTGGAAAATAGGATTGCGGCTAGTATGGTTGCCTGGAAACGCATGCATGTCTTTTTCAAAGAGTGCATGTTGACTGAAGCTCTTTCCTTCGAGTTGCCTTTGCTCTGGTACTTTTCATATTTTGGGTGATCAGGAGCGTGTTGCAGCGTTGGAGGCTATTGTTATTGAGATGGGCCATGGTCAGGTGTTTTTCTTAGAGTGGCTGAAGTCTTGCAAGTATCTCCATGAACCTAGTGGTGTTTAGATGCATTCAGTGTTGTTCGCTTCGTTCCAACATTCAAGTTTTTGCTCTGGTGTCCAGGCCCTTAGGGAGGCCCGCTCTGATGTGGGTGCTTCCACAAGAAGGCCCGCGTCATCCCATCTTTTTGATGTCTTGAATTCCCACACGCTCGGACATCAGGAGCCGAGTTGCTCCGCTTTCAGAAATGCTGAACGACATCAATGAGGAGCCCAAGATCCCCCAGTTCCTCACTTGAAGAATTGGCATTGCATATCATATATCACATATCCCCAATTTCCAAATGCCTTGCATTGCCACTTCATGCTTCATGTGAAGCGAGTGCATGGAGAATCAAAGAGAACCAGTTCTTTGAGGTCATCAGCTGTCAAGCACGAGAAGGTGAGGAGCCTTAGGTAAACATTTCTGCTTTCGCCGGAGCGAAACAAACAATCTGTACCGCCAAGGCTGCCATTGACAAGGTGATCGAAAGTCTGTTGGAGGGCAGTTCTGACCTTGTGAACTTGCGCAACTTTTGCAAACCATCGCGACATTGTTCTGCGAACGGCTGTTGGTCAAGGTGAGGGGTTTGCAGAGTATGTTGACTCAAGGGTTTGCTGTAGCAATCCGGTGTTTCCCGTCAGCTTTGACCTGGATCCGTTGTTCATCAGCTTTGTCTTGGGAAGCCCAGGTGAGAACAGCGACGCAAACATCGGCGTGGAGGTGGAGAAGGAGAGGGCGGGAGTTCGCAAATGTTTGAACATGTGAATGGCCTTACTTTCAAAACGTCATCCTGGAAGATCCTGGAAGTCCAAAAAAAGTTATGGAGAAAAGACACAGGAAGAACGAGGGAGGTTTAAAGTGAAAAGAAAGATCCAAAGGGCACAAGAAGAGGGCACAAGAAGAGAAACATAATTGTGATTCATGAAGTGTGAAGAGCAATGCATGTTCTGCGTTCTCAGTCAGGCTTGACAAATCGAAGCAGAAGGAGACAAAGTTGTCCGTCCCAAGGGCCCAGCCTCTCGCTTGAGTATTAAGGCACTTACCCCTTCGGAAGGACTTGAAAGATTGTTGAAGATGTGGGAAGTGGTTTTCTCATGATTTCTAGAGTTTCCCTAGCATTTAGTTGCACTCTGTAAGTTTTGGGAGTCTTCACGAAAGCTAGCACCAGCTAGCTGGAGTTGTTCTTGCTTTAGCAAGTGAGGGGGTGAAATCCTCGAGAGCGCAGCATCGCATGAAAACTTCATGCGTACGGCCCCCCCCCCCCGCGGGTTCAACTCCTCCCTGGACGTCTCTGGGACATGTGCATTTGCATGCTCACCCCCGCCCTGCTAGCTTTCGTCACCAACCCTCGGCCTCAAGTGCTCTTGTTGCGGCCAGGAAGTCCAAGACATTCAAGCTCGAACTTGGTGAAGTCGAAGAGATCTACGTGCAAAAGTCTTGATGGATGTGGATTGATCCAAGACTTGTCCGCGAACCCTTTTTTTTGCCGCATAATTCATTCCTTGCTTTGTTCTGCACCATGACCTTGTGAGCAATGGGCGATGTGTTTGCAAGCATCATTCAAGTAACATCCGCTTTCAGCTTGATGTAGTTAGTTTGTTTTGGTCATGGTGTCATTTCCTACCTAAACAGCCGCCAGCAGGACACATAACTACACAAGACAGCCCCTCTAAACGGAACACAGCGCAGCAGAAGAAAGGGGTGAATGTTGTGAACACATTCCATGGAATTCATCATCATTGCATCAAGTTGCATCAAGTTGCATCTTGCATTGATGATCAAGTTGAACTTTGCCATGGCCTGGTCATGGTCCCCATGGTGCCAGAGAGACGCTCTCTGGCCGAATGTCTGTCACAGATCTTTGGATGCTCGGCAGATGTTGTTCTCTCTTTCGGTTGTCCGTTGAAGAAGACGAAGGTCTCCGTCCTCCTTCGGTCGACCTTCGGTCCTGAGGTGGTGAGCGCTACGTCGTTTCTTTGGACCACATTGCGGCCAAACAGCAGTTCTTTCTGGGACCGTTGCACGTGTGTTAGACAAGTGTTGCACGAGTGTTGCACCGTTTCTGAGTTAGAAATCAGTGGGAAGTGGAAGCAGTCACACATGCAGCAGGTGAGCTTTTTTTCACATCATTTGCATAAGGATTTTTTCTTTGTCCCAGTAGATTCAATAGGGTCTTTGCAGATGTACTACGCACAAGGAGGCACGAGGGTACTGCGTGGCCCCAAGGTCTTGTGCGAGGCCTCTGCAGACTCAGTGGCGGAGGCCCTGCGGCCGTATTTGCAACGCTTGCAGCAGGAGCGGGTTTCACGGCCTGGGCTGGGTGGTGTCTTTGCGGTGAGAAACGACCTGCTCCTAGTAGTGCGGCCAGGAGTCCCTAGTAGCTCTTGCTACTAGTAGCGATGCCAGGAGCCCCTAGTAGCAAAGTTATTAGTGAGTGGTGGCTCATTGATGTAGCTGAGAAGCTGAACTAAAGTTTTTCGGGTTCTCTCTGGCCAACCTGTGGTCGTGCCACCGAACCTCGGATTGGGTGGTTGTCGTCCTGTTGTCCTCCTAACTGTTGTTCGGGGTGTTGTCCTTCTGTGTCCGGACCTGTCCAGGCTTTGTCGGGCCTTGTGTCTTGTACTAGTCATCTAAGCATCTCTGTGAGGCCGATGTGGCAGAGATTCCAGAGCTGTGGGAATTGGTGGAGAGAGCGACTCTCCTGCTCTCCAACCTAAAGGGAGAGACTATCCAAATTGGCTGGGCTGAGACCATTTTGGCGGCTGCCAGAGCTGCTGTGTCGGCAGAGAAATGCGTCACCTTAGTTGAGCAGCATTTATTGAGCTTGGAAGGCTTCCGTGCGGATCCCAGCAGATTTGCAAATCCATCTCTACCTGTGGTTTCAAACCTCTTTGCGCACGATGCTCCATGGAGCAGGAAGCTTGAAGCTTTTTGTTCGGCTTCTCAGCAAAGGTTCGCAGATGATTGTCAGAAAGCTTTGGAGGCCTTGACTCTTGGTGCTCCTTGTGAGGCTTGGGCAAATCGCTTAGCCTACAGTACTGAAGTGGAGGCTGTGATTGACAGCTGTTGCTCAAGCAGCTCCGAGTCCAAAAGCTACAGTTTTGCAGCTTCATGCGCCCAAAGCTGGCTGCAGCTCAGTCTCCCAGTGCTTCCATGGATTCTAGCGAACCTTCTTTGGCCGAATTGTGTGAGCTGTGCTGGCGGCTGTGCGGGTCTTGCAAGCTCTTTAAGCCAAGAGGAAACTTCTTTTCAACGAGTCCGGAAAGCATTGGAGCACTGCAATGATGCACAGGCTCTCCTTCAACTGAAAGATGCGTTCACACAAGCCTGTTCACTACTGCTACGGGCTGCATGGTCAGAAGGAACTGGATATTCAAATGCAGTGGCATGGTTCAGTGCAGTTCTTTTGGTGGTGCATGAGTCTTGCCGAATCCTTTTCCCAGAAGTTCCAGTTGGTTCAGTGGCCGCAGCCATCACTGCAGCAGATTCCCTGCTGACTTGCAATACATCCCATCCGCCTTGGGAAGAAGTTCTTGGCAAGAAGTCTAACGCTTTGGATTTTTCGATGGGCAATAGTGGCAAAGAAAGCTCGTTGATATCTCCAAGTGTGGAAGAGCTCTCGGAAGCGATTGCACAAGCTCTTCACGCAGAGGTGCAAACTCAAGCTGCTAGAGCCCTGCCAGGCTGGGGCTGGGTCCTCAAGAATGTTTTGAACACTCCTAGGTTCCCCCAAGTTGTGTAATGTTTTTGGTTCACGCGTTTGTTCACGAATGCGTTTCGAAGGGTTCCCGTTTAACGTTTGTGGATCTGCAAGCTGGACCTGTGTTTGCCTCGTGTGGTCTCGTATCTGGAGTCTCGTCTCAGACTCGTCGTGTTGACCCGCGTTTGGCAAAAAATGGAAGCTTTTAGAAAGGGGTGATGGATGGACGAAGTGGTCAATTCATGTGACATAGTGTAGAAACGTGACATGCTCACGTGTGAAGCATGTTTTGCTGTGCAGGCACTGACTTTCTTTAAGCTTAAGTTTCGCAAAAAATCTAGGAACCAAATCATTAGTTCGAGCTATCCTGCGCTAGTAGCTGAAGTAAGCTACTAGCTACTTAGCTACCTCCACCTCCCGCGGGCTGAAAGCAAGAAAAAAAAGAACACAACACACTTTCGGTGTTGAATGTTGCTGTGCCGGAATTTGTTCTTGAAGTGCTTCTTCGAAGCTGTAGTTTTTGAGTGATGTGAGTCAAAACTATTTCAAACGTTTGGCGTGCAAATTTTGTTAGACTTGACTAGGTGTGGCACAGTCTTTTTTCATCGGTGGCGACCTTTGGTGTGGATGGGTGTGTCGGTGGCTGCTTTGGCGAAGGGGCTTCATTTTTTCAAAGCTGTTTGGCATGGCTGCGTGCTGCGTTCGGTCTGATGAGACTTCCCACTTCACTTTTGGAGGGAGACATGATCGTTTTAGAGACTTGACGGGTAAATCTCGAGCACAATCTCGTTTTGGAGACTTTATGATTGACTTTTTGGAGGAACTGGCAACTTTGTTGTTAAATGAGTGGGGAATAGCTTCTGGGACTCCGCTCAGGGCTTTGCGTGGCACGGCTACATCTAGTCTGTGGCACCCCAGCCTCCGTGGAAAGTGCGTTTATGTGGCTCTGTGCCGTTCGGAAACGGGTGAGCGGGTCATTTTGTGTTGTGAACAAGGCTTGTGTCACATAACCTGCATTTGGTCTAGAGTGAGTGTGTTGCAGAGTGAGGCGTCCTGCAAAAGAGTGTCCAGCAAGTGCCTTACAAGCAAGAGTATCATCAAGAGTTTCCCACCACAAGAGTGTCCCACGAGGGTGCCCTACAGGCAGGAATGCCCTACAAGAGTGTCACAAAGAGTGTTCCGGCAAGAATGTCCCATGAGAGTGTCCCACAGAGTGTCGTACAAGCGTCTCTGACAGAAGTTTGCGGCAAGAGAGTTTTACAAGTTCCACAAAAGTATCCCGCAAGAGTGTCCTACTCGTACAAGAGCTTCGCACAAGAATTTCTGACAAGATTGTTGCGCAAGAGTGCCCTACAAGAGTGTCCCAAGAGAGTGTCCTGCAAGAGTGCCCCGCAAGAGTGTTCCACAATGTCGTACAAGAGTGTGCCGCAAGAGTGTCCCACAAGAAGGTTCCACATCCTTCAAAAGTGTTCTTGAAGAGTGTCAAACAAGAATGTTAAACAATGTCTGGACGTTTGTGTTTGGGTTTGTTTGGACTAAGTTTGGACGTTTGTGTGTGCATTAGGTTCGTTGGTTTTTATCAACCTTCTTGGAAAAGGATTCGAACTCTGACCAGGTCCAACTGACGAGCCATGGCCGGGAAAGATTGCACCCCTCCTGTTGCTCTTCCGCCTTCTCCCTGATGCAGGACGGCTAGTTGGAGAAACACTCTTTAGTTGCTTGGGACGACCAACAAGGTTCATGCATTATCCACACCCTAGCTTGCTTTTTCCACCTGCAAGGGGCATCTAGACCACCCCTCACCGCTTGCACTGTGTTTTTGATCTGAAGGCTGAGACCTATGGTCTCAATCAGGTCTACACCTATGCTTGAGTACTTTTCAGTCTTTGCTAGCAGGTTTATGCGCTTCAAGCGCCCACATGAGTCTTCTTTCTTTTCTTCCATCAGGAGGTGTGCCACTCCAGGCCCAAGCCCGTTTAGTGGCATTGCGAGCTCTACAGGGAAATCATGAGGTGCTTTCGTCTCCTCGACTTGACGGTGTCAGCTGTCAAAGTCTTTGACTTGTTTTTATTCTAGAAAGTTTGACATGTTGCAGATGAATTGCATTTTTTGCTGCAGGTGAGCATGGAGCGACGTTTCTTGGAGTTTCTGCAGAATGAGTGTGGGCATCAACATCCAGTGTTGAGGCATTTGGCAAAGGTGTTGCAAGAGACTGCAGATGCTTTGGGGAGTGCACCTTTCAAAGCATTGGCCATCAGTGCAGTGGCTGCTTCCAGCTTGCAACTCTGTGAGGAGAGCTTCTCGCAGCAGCCCGTTTTCTCCAAAGAAATCGGGCTCTCGGGGTTCTCTTCCAGCCAGTCTTTCGCACTTTCACTTCTGACCAATTCGCACTCTCATCCAATTTGTCAAGCTTCTTCCATCTCCAAACAGATCTTTTCCACTCAACTTCAATGGACCGAGGACTACCTGACAAAGTATCCCCATCGAAAATTGCTTTGGAGTCGACTTGGTGTGGTAGTTCTTTCTTGGAGACATCAGAAAGGACAAACTCGGTTGACAACTTCTGAGAGGCAAGCACACTTCTTGCTGGCTGTCGATGAGCACCTCAGCACTGGAGCTTCTTTGGAGATGAGTGGTCTCTCTCTTTCTACAGACTCTCAACATGAGAGGTTTACGAGTTTTCAGGATTCTTCCGAAAAGGCTAGTGGCGTCGGTGGTATGCAGGAAGTTTTGCAGTTGGTCGGGAGCAACAAGCCATTGGAGCTCATGAATATCAACTATGTTGCCATTCGTCCAGAAAGCGACGCTTCCCATTTGGACCTCAGGGTTCAACCGTTTGCAAGAACCTGTTCTACTCAGGACGGCTGAGATAGTTGTGCACAAAAGTCAGACAACAAACGAAAGAACTGTGCCTTTTGTGGCAAGCCAAGGACCAAGAATATGTAAGTATTTAGACTTGCCACTGCTTCCTACATGAAATGTACCTTTTGCCAGGTAGTCTTACCAGGCAAGACAAACTGGGGATCCCATGAGGAGCCAGCGAGGGCATCACAGGCGGCTCACGCGCCAGTAGTCGACGCAGCCGTGGTCCGGATTCTCAAGCAACTTGTCTGACAAAACGTCTGTGTTGATTGTGGAATGAACACCTCTAGTAAATTCCTGCCCTTAGGCGCTTCCATGTGCTCACTGGCGATGAAGTTCTCAGAAAACTGAGCAACTATCCGGAGAGCCTTGACATATCAGAGTTGCTCGGAAGCAGCAAAAAGCTGTCACCAGACAAGGTAAGTAAGTTATCGATCCACGACGTATGCGAATTTGCTGCCACATGGTCACTGTGGCCAGGCAGTCTTCTTTTCCAGCCAGGGATGCTAATGCCGCTGCGAAGGTGACCTTCTTTTGGAATGTCCCAAAAGTGTGTTGCTGTATGTTGTTAGAGAAGAAGAGGAGAGTTGCGCTTCAAGATTTTGGAAAGGAGACAGAGCCTCGTAATCAACAAACTTCGATTTGAGGATGGGCATGAAGCGTTTGCTCGACTGCGTGCTCTTTGCGTGCCGCCCTGACTGAGTGCTTTTGACTGAACCAGTGACATCGAGTGATGTCGAGGATCGCGGCTTGCTGCGGGCGGAGACGGATGGCCTTGAGCTTACTGATCGGCCTTGTTCCTGTAAACGCGACACGATCAAGCAGTGTGCACATTCAGAACAGCTGGAGAGAGCAGCTGCGGCCTCTGAGGTGAATTTGACCTGCAAACGCGCTTCTTCTACGAGCACTAGGCGGCTGCGAACGTCATTTGAAGACAGATGTCATGGAGTAGACTTTTGAAGGTTTTGGAGTCAACTCGTCGAATTGGTTTCTTCTTTCTGACGAGGTGTAGGCCTGAGATGGGTGAGGTCCCCCACGTGGGCTTCGAACCAATTAGCCTTGAAACAGGTTACACCGAGACCCCATTCCGCCATCCCTTTTTCGGTTCGGAGGCATCTTCTGTGTGGTGTTTTTGAGTTCAGCTTTGCAAGGAACAGAAGATTTTCTTTTCATTCTTTTTCCTCATCGGTCATTTGGCTCAAAGATGAAACTGAGACGACGTTCATATCTGGATCCCAGTCAAGTTCTCAGAAGTCGCCCAGAAGTCGTGCATGTTGGGAGTTTGGTACTTGCACCGAGGCGGGCCATGAATTTCATAGCCCTTCTGGGATTTGCAGGTGTGGATATCAAGCAACTTGAAAGAGAGAGAGAGAGAGACCTTTACTATCCTTCACTTTTCAACTTCCGGTAGCTCCCTGTACGGAAACAAGCCTGTTACTCAACAGGAAAAGATGGAACACGTGTGAAGCTGTGTACAACTTGCGGGGAAGGAAAGTAAGTTCTTGATTGAGAATCCACACCTATCATGACTCATAACCGCATAACCATGTTGGGAGAAGACAGAGTCGGGAAACCTACTCCAGAGTCAGGAAACCAGATCGTCCAAGTCAGGAAAGGTACCCAAGCATCCTAGAAACGTGAAGACCTAAGCGTCCTTGCTCCTAGTAGCGATGCCCTGTGCTCCTAGTAGCGTCCGTGTTCCTAGTAGTAAGGCCAGGAGCCCCTATAGCGTCCTTCCTAAAGAAGTGAGGACCTAAATCAAGGGCCCAAGCCGTAAGGAAGAGAAGCCCCTAAACCAAGCCTGAGGCAACCCTACAGAGGAGAAGCCCTGAAGCAAGCCTCAAGAAACCCTCAAAAATGAAGACACAAGCAAGCACGAGGAATTCCTTGCACAAGTGGAAGCTCGAAAGCCTCCTTCTCCTTCTCCTCCTTCCCCTCCTTCTTTCCTTCATTCCATCGGTATCCTTCTTGCTCTTGTTGCTGGTTAGGTCTTCATTTCTTCAGGATTTCTTGGTTTCGGTTTTGACTTGTTTAGGCTTTCTTTGGGCTTGGTTTCGGAATCCAAAAAGACCCGGAGCAGCTCACTGGCCTCTTTTTGTCATGTTGCCTCCTTCACGAACCCCTAAAAGACTGGTTTGTTTCATCCACGAAACAGGCCAGAGTCAGGACAAGCACTGCTTGATAATCGAATTTTGGGATGATCAAGATGCGAGGATGGAAACCATCGACGCGGTCCAATCCAAAGGGGGTGTGGAGAGGTGGAGCCAATGCAGTAGATCGCACCAATCATGAAATATGCCGAAGTACACTTATACTCACCAGTGAACACTAATATATCAACGTGCTGAGAATGAGCAAGTGTCCTGAAGGTGATGACTTCGTTTCTTTCGTTCTGTTGCGAGTCCAGCTTTTCCAGGCCTTAGCCTTGCATTGAGTGCTGTCACACAAGCGCTCCCGGCGGCTTCTGCACTCAATATGTCAACATGTTATACCGTTGACTTTGTCGAGATGAACCATGACAGGAGAAAGCAAAGAACCTCAAGAGCCAGCAGCATTTGCAGCCTTCGGAGGCATGCAGCAGTGCCTGAGTCAAGTTCTGTATTGAAACATTGTTCAAAACAAACACCTGGACTCATGATTTCAGATTCAGTCTGGCGTGATTTGCATAGTGACTTGTCAGGGGGGTGTGTTGAGAATCAGGCGGGTATAGCACTTCCCTGCTTTGCGACAATTTCCAAGTTGATTTAATCTTGGTTTGATAGTTTTTCTGTTTGCTTTTCAGACAGAGCCCTGCTGCAAAGTTGCTCGAAGCTCCTGGTCCAGTAC